CTAAGGTTATGGATATTGGGCTCAACGGTTATTGCCACGAGAAGTGACCTTTAATCCCATCAAAGTGATCTTTATCCCCTATTGTTAAATACACTTTTTTTATATTAAAAAAAAAATTCTCTATAAATCATAGTTAATAATGAAAATAGCCTTCCTTAATAGGTTTAATTAGGGTTTTATTTGCAGTTATTTTCCCCCAATTTTAAATTTAACTAGGGTTTTTAATTAAACCACTTTTTCCCAATACCAATTTTTTTCCAATTTCAAATTTGATACTTATTTTTCCCTTTTCAAATTCAGATTCATCATGTTGTGTGATTACTCTTTTCATAACTTTACTAATATATTTTCATCAAAAAAATAATTATTTGAATAAAAAAATGTTTCAATGATTTAAAAAATTTAGATTTAGGGTTTATGTAAGGATCAAAGGTTAAAAACTAAAACAAATATATAAAATAAAAACTGGATATAGAAATCATTATGTCATTAAGGTTAAATTTGTCAAAAATAAATACATTTAAAAGTAGGATATGTAGACCAATTTGATAGGGGCTAAAAATTACTTTCTATTGTCACAACTGCTCTCCTGCCGTGGGTAGTAGGCTTAAGGGTTATTATCACTTCAAATAATGCTTGTGTGAAGCTCAAAAGCTAATAGATGAAAATCAATTAACAAGAGAAACAACAAAACCCACATCATTCAGTTTATAAGTTTATGATTCACATCACTCCATCAGTGCCGTCCCTTTCACGGTTAGTTCGAACTCCATCTTGATATAAATATTTGTATTTTGTAAATCCTGACAAAGGAAGAATAGGCCAAAGTCACCCTTATGATAGAATTTTTTTCAAGATATACTTAATGTCATAGCCAAAGTCAATGAATCAACCCTTACCATAGAAGTCTTTCTGTAGACACTTAATGCCCAAGGATCAGGTTGGTGATTGAATTTTCTTCTCATAGATAGGCTAATGTCCTTGTCTGTTGTCCCCAACCTGCTCACTTTTATGTATCACAAGATAATACAATTAAATTTATATATTATGCAAATGCCCCATGAAAATTCCAAATGATACTAAAATTTAGTTGGAATGAATAAATATTATATATTATATTATTTCACATGGTATCAATTGTTTTGTATTTTGTAGTTCAATTGGTAACTAAAATGGAAAGCAGCTATGCTTCTATTGTAGTTAATTGTCTGATAACAGAGAATATACTCTTGAATCCTGTATATGTATGTCAAGAAATCATTATTTCATCATCAATTTTAGATTAATTGGAGGGTATGGTATTGGAAATTAGAAGCTCTCAGCTGATCACTAATGGAATCAGTCGGAATTCGTTATAACCTTTTGGTTTTAGGAGCTTAAATAAGAGCATCTCCGATATGAAGAGCATCTTTTATATAAATAAAAAATATCTTCATTAATTTTTAAATATAAAGAACATAATTTTTATTCAAATCTAATAGACTCTTTATAATAAAGAGTTTGAGTCATATAAAGAGTCATTTGGAGATGTTCTAATCAACCATATCAAAATTGGACGACTTCAAATATCTACTAAAATCTGAAAATAGAATACTGGACAGATGACAAATATATGTTTTACACAAATATGCAGGTCCAGTTTAAGCTTACATATTTTGTTTGTGATTCACATCACTAGGCCAGTGTCGTTCCTTTCACCTTGGTTACTAATAAAATGTCTTGATATATAATGAATCGATAGTACGTACTAAGACAATTTCAAAATGATATTAATCGGTATCTCAATTATTCACCAATAAGATTTATTAATGTGATAGTAATTTTTAGAACAAAGAAATTCTCAAATTCCGACTAATATTTTCTCTCTTTTAAGTGTTATATTATTCTCGACAAAGTACTCTATGTTGATTAAATAACACTTTAATCCAAAAAAAAAAAAAAATCATCTAGAAAATAAAGAATTCTTATTTACTTCATTCTTGAGATTATTTTGACTTGTACCTAAAGACACGTAAATCTGTAAATGGATAAGTCTTCATATTAAAATCAACAAGAATTTGATTAAACTAATTAAAATAAAGAAATCTTAGGCTCCGTTTGGTTCATCATTCTGATAGTTTTTAGACTAATATTTTGAAAAAAGTTAAATTGGGCCGGTATTACAATGTAGGATTTGAAAATTAATAAAAATTTCCCCTATGTTTATTTATTTATTAAACACCCCTATAATAAAATATTAAAAATTAACAAAAATACCCTCAATATACTCATTAAATACAGACAACAGGTCACCACCGTCGGAGGATGACCAGAATATTTTTATAATTTCTAAAAAAAATATTTAAAGGTATTTAATTAGATTAATAAATTTAAAAGATTTAAAATAAATTAAAAAATATAAAATAATATTTTAAAAATAATAATATTTGACTAATTAATTTTATTGGGATACTTATAATAGTATCCCCAATACCGTATCAAACGAATTATTTATTTCCATCAGTGCCGTCCCTTTCACTGTTAGTATGACCCAGTTCGAACTCCATCTTGATATAAATATTTGTGTGTTGTCCACATCACCTCCTTTAACATCAGAGAATTGGTCATATTTAGAAAATCCTGACGAAGGATGAGCAAGTCAAAGTAAATCACCCTTACGATAGAAGTCTTTTCCCGATATATTTAATGTCATAGCTAAAGTCAATGAATCAACCTTTACCATAGAAGTCTTTCCCTAAATACTTAATGCCCAGGGACCAGGACGGTTGGCCATTAATTTTCCTTCTCATTGATAGGCTAATGTCCTTGTCTGTTGTCTCCTACCTGTTCGAATAAGTGACCTGTGGACCTTTGGTTTGTATAAAGTCTGTGGGCTTTAAAACATTCACACCTTTTAAGGTTTAATGTAAGGCGTTAGGCTAGAAGGTTTAAATAAGTGATATCACAAGCCCAAATGTTATAATAAGTAATAACTAACCGTTGTTAAAAACAAAAGAATTTACCTTTTTTGTATATATGATAGTACAATTGACCATGAGTAACAAAAAGACAAAGTAACAAATAGTTTATAAAATACACCTATCTATTTTGTTTAACATTTTTTATTTTTTTTCTTGATTTTAAATTTAAATCTTTTTATATTATTATTTTTAACTTTTATAATATTTTAAAAAAAAAATCTCTGATTTATACACTTATTATTTTAATTTTATTAGATAAAAAAACATATTTTTGGATTCTTTATATTCATTATATTTAATTAATGTTTGTATATTTTATTTATGATTATGACTTCCAGTAGCCACTTTCTTAGACTACTAACTGGAAAAAATAACTAATATTCCTATAATATATTATTCACCTTTATAATTTGTATTATACACAGAAAGAAACTGATTTGGCAATGGAGATGCTAAAGAAGTCGATCATCTGTGCTTTGCATTTATATTTACAGCTGCTATAAAGTCCTGGCTCACGCCTAGAATCAATCAATTTTAATTATATTGTCATTCACTTATTACGTACTCAGATTTTCTCTTTGTTTATCTTTATATTTCCCAGCAAGCTTTAGTAGTATTAGCATAGATTATGGTCAGAAAATTTTGGCCAATATTACATCTCTGTTTAGCAATTGAGATGGCTCGTAAGAAGGTAAGCAATAGATTGAATCAGAAAAGTCTATTGAAATGATCAGTTTAGATCTTCATTGATTATCTTCCACAGGAAGGTAATATCCTCATAATATATGTATGTTGGCTACTTGTAATATGAGAAATAAAATGGAATGCAGCTATGAATTATCACCAACAGTAATATCCTCATAATATATGTATGTTGGCTACTTGTAATATGAGAAATAAAATGGAATGCAGCTATGAATTATCACCAACAGTAACATGTCAATATGTAATGGATGATCTCCTGCATATATCGGATTAATTGCTCTCTCTTTTATCTTCCGTCTCCAATCAGTGTTCTCTATCTATGGGCCTAAGAACAAACTTTCGGCCTGTTTTTTGCTGGGCCAATGCGTGCAGTTTCTAATTGAGCTAAGTTGACAGTCTGGAATAATGTTATGGGTATTGGGCTTAAGGTTTATTGCCACTT